AAAGTCATTCTACTTCATCTCTACCTTTATCTAAAGTTATGAACTCAGATTCCATCATGGATCGAGCTATACATGTTTGTTTAGGGGATTTCCAAGATACGGTCGCACCATCAATGGTAAAAACATACCCACTAGTGGATTTTGAGTCTTTTATATTTGATATCCAATTAACATCACTGTATCCTTCTAATATAGCTGGATATCTAGTATATTACAATCCAATATTTGAGGTGTATCGTAGATATCTAAGAACCCTTACCAATTCCTTCTACTAATCATTATTTGAGTTACTTGTATATCTACTAAGTTTATTTACTACACATACAATATCCGGACGAGTGTAATTTGTAATATACATTAGACTGCTTATTATCCGAGAGTATTCTAATTGAGATACAGGTTCACCTTTATGTTTGGCCAAATGTATACTTAAGTCTACCGGTGTTTTAACAGGACTTTCATCATATATTCGAAACTTCTTAAGTATAGTCTCAACATAGTGAGATTGAGATAAGACAAGTCTCTCAGATGTTTTAAGAATTTTAATTCCTAATATTACATCTGCAATACTCATATCTTTCATGTCAAAATGTTGTCAACATTTTCTTGGTATTTGTTATGATATCATAATTACTAATTATCATCAACATATAGACATACGATTACATATGCATTAGGTGTGATTTTAATATAAACACATTTATCACACTCGTTAATCTTAAAATCATTTGACAACATATATAGTTTTGTCAAATTTTGGATACCATTGTTTTGGCGCTTGCTTTAGTCAACATAACGACTTAACGAGCATACTCACATTTTTCTCCTGTCCAAGAGACCTTTCGAGTTGTTTCATGCAAATTTCTTCTTCTAACTCACCATTTAAGAAAGCTGTTTTGACGTCCATCTGATGAATTTTCAAATTATGAAATGTTGTGATTGCAATTAATACTCTAATTGATATTATCATTGTCACATGTGAGTATGTATCGAAAAAATCAAGGCCTTCTTTTTGTTTGAATCCTTTAGTTACCAATTTGGCATTATATTTATCAACTGATCTATTAGTCTTTAATTTTCTTTTGAAAATTCATTTACAACCTAACGATTTGTTACTAGGTGTGAGATCTACCAACTCCCAGGTATAATTCTGTGTAATAGAATCAATTTCACTATTCATAACCTCTTTCCAGAATGGAGCTTCTGGACTAGACATTGCTTCATTGACTGTACATCCGGAATGTCCGACTTATGTACGAGAAACTGATAAGCACTACTGTTATTAGCATATCCAATGAATATGTAATCGATGGTCTTAGGCCCTATTTTAACTTGTTGATACTTTGGTATTTCTATCTTAGTCAAACACTCCCACACTTTTAAATATTTGTACGAAGGTTTATGATATTTTCATAACTCATAAAGAGTTTCGTGCCTACTTTTGTGTGGTAATTTATTTAGAATGTGGTTAGCTGAAAGAATTGCTTCCACCCAGAAATTTTGAGGTAAAGTAGAACTAATCAACATAGCGTTCATTATTGCTTTCAGAGTACGATTTTTGTGTTCAGGAATACTATTTGATTGAGGTGAATAAAGAGCTGTAGTTTGATGAATAATTCCAGAATCTGAACAAAATTCTTCAAACGGTACTCCATATTCTCTACCTTTGTCACTATGAACAACTTTTATTCATTTATTTAGTTGATTTTCAATCTCATTCTTGTATTGTTTAAATGCTTCTAAGGCCTCGTCTTTGCTCCTTAGCAAATAGACATAACAGTACCTTATACAATCATCTATAAAAGTAATAAAATACTTTTTATCTCTTCTAGTTTGCACAAACTTTATATTACAATTTTCACCGTGAGTTAAGTCTAGAGGATTCGAGTTCCTTTCAACTGAATGAAACGATGTTTTAGCTAATTTAGCTTCTACACATATTTCGCACCGATGATTTTAATCAAATGAAATAGAAGGCAATAAATCTAAACTTACTAATTTACGTAAAGTATTAACATTTACATGTTCTAACCTATCATGCCATAAATTAGAAACTCAAACAAGTAAGCAGAAGATTTATTTTTATTAATATCAGAATTACGGAGTACATGTATTACATTCATTTTGAATAGCCCATTGGCTAAGTATTCTTTGCCTGCAAACTTGTCAGATTCAAATTCTAGCCTAAACCACTCATGCTTAACAAAGCTCTAGATACTAAGTTTTTGCGAATATTGGAAACATGCAGCGTATCGATGAGAGTTACTTCAGATAACAACTTTTATTGTTAATGAGTTGTCCATGAATAGTTTTCGTCCATTTATAGGAATGTAAGATGAAAACATCTCCTTATCAGCACAAACATGACGAGTAACTTCCGTATCAACGAACCATTCTCTCAGAGTGTCCACAATGTTTGCTTCAAATACACCAGTTGAGAGCAATAGTTCAAACACACTGTTAGATAATCTGTCTTTATCGGTCATGTGTACTTGGTCCTTTTTGTTTTGCTTTTTCTGTCGGCAAACCTTTGCAATGTGATCAGACTTACCGCAGTTTATAGTAATCTCCTTTGAATTTCTTGGTCTTGCTCTTCTGCTTGCCATTACCCGAGTGCTTCCTCTTCTTGCTAGTATTTGACTCCATCAATTGACTTTAGCCTCCATTTGCACTTCCTAAATTTCTTTTCAGAATTGCGATTATCTTCTTCAATTCTTAATTGTACAATTAGATCTTCAAGTCCTATTTCCTTGTGTTTATGTTTTAGGTAGTTCTTGAAATCTTTCCACATTGGTGGTAATTTTCGATAATCGCAGCAACCTAAAATGACTCACTAAGCTTCATAACTTCTGCATGTATATCGTGCAAGATGATTTGTAGCTCTTGGACTTGATTCATTACTATTTTAGAATCTACCATTTTGAAGTCTAGGAATTTGCCTACAATGAATTTCTTCAACCTGACATCTTCCATTTTGTACTTCTTTTCCAATGATTCCTGCAATAATTTAGCTGTCTTGACCGAACAATATATGATGTATAGTGTGTTGTTAAGGCAATTGAGGATGTAATTCTTGGACAAGAAGTCACTATGACTCCAAGCATCGAATGCTGCTCTCCAAGCATCGAATGCTGCTCGTTTTTTAGAATCTGTTTCATCATACTCAACAGTTGGAGCATCTTCACTCAAGAATTTTGCTAAATTCAGAGTCGTGAGATAAAACAACATTTTCTGTTGCCATTTCTTAAAATCCACTCCAGTGAATTTTTTCGATTTCTCCCCGTGAGCATTATTAGGGGTAGGGCTGTCAATGGATTGGATTTTGATCCGAATCCGATGAAATTAATGGGAGATGGATTTGGGGTCTCAATCCGATAACCCGATCAAGATCCAAATCCGATAATCCGTTAATTAAATATATCAAATATGAATATATGTCAATCCGATCTGATAACAATTAGATCCAATTTGTTATAAATAATTGAGTCGATAAAATATTTTTATGGCGTATTATTTGTTACTAAAATAAATAAATTTAGAATAAAAAATAATCAAATTCAAAACATAAAAAAGTTTAAAAACTTTATAATTATTAACTTGTTTAAGAATTGGAAAATTATATAAAAAAAAAAAGTTGATTTCAACCAATGTTTTTCTAATTTTAGTTTACTAATTTAAAGTAAATAAATATCTATATTTTTCTTAATTAAATTTATCATTGTAATTAATTTTACAATTTCAAAAACTAATAATTAATATGTAACAAATAATTTGATTTGTTAATGGAAATAATGAAATAAAATATTTATATTTAAAATTGAAATTCAATTTTAATTTATCCAACATCGAATGTCAATAGAAAACTAGAAGGAGGTCTCTCCTTTAAAAAGGAACATCATGATGGTAGAAGTCATTATTGGGTTTGTTAGGAAAAATAGGTGGGCCCCAAATTAGTTCAAAAATTTTTCTCTAATTTTTATTAATTTCGGATCGAATTATCGGATTGGATATTCGGTAACATTGTAAATCGGATATGGATTTAGCAATTAAATATATGAGCTTGTTAGGAAAAATAGGTGAGCCTCAAGTTAGTTCAAAAATTTTTCCCTAATTTTTATTAATTTTGGATCGAATATCCGATAACATTACAAATCCGATATGGATTTAGCAATTAAATATCCGTTGCATTATCGGATCGGATCGGATCGGATCAAATAAATTTTCTTATCGGATCAGATCGGATATTGGCAGATCCGATCCATTTACAGCCCTAATTAGGGGATACGACGATGTAGTATTATTTGCCATTATCGTCTTAAGATTGTTGGATGTAAGTTCTCTCCCTTCAAAGACTATTGATACCCCTTGAGATCCAAACCCAAGTCTCAAACTTGAGTAATATAAAGTGGTTTATATTTTTCTAACTTTCCTATATGAGATTGACACTTTTCCGATTCCCATCAATTTTTATTTCAATTTATTTCAACTTCAAGTGATTATCTTTTGACATTAATTTTTCATTCACCCTAAATTGGTTTTGAGAAAATAAATACATTACATTAATCTACTCATGGAGTAGAACACACTCGGTGGAAGAAATATTTTATCCAACTAACAGGACCCACTAAAATAGTTGGTCAAAAGTTGGTCAAACTAACTAATCAAATTCAATTTTCCAACAAATACTTGGACGCTTGCTTTATATTAGAATTTGAAATAAAGGAATTATCATTTAAATTACTGCAATAAATAATAATCAGCACTAAAAAATTTGATCTTTACACTATCAAAATCGTTAAAAGGTGACAATATCTCAACACAACAGCCCTAAATCAAACCTGGAACATAAATAGAGCCGCAATATCTCGTTTTAAAGCTCCTTATTAAAATAAATGGTAGATTTTTGTGACTCTCTCCAGAGGCAACACTACTAGAAGCAGCTGGGTTCTGAATCTTGTTCGAGCCTATAATTTTCCGGTGAATTCTCAGTTACCCATAGAATGGATGGTGGAGGAGAGGAATCCATAGAGGCGGTGGCGGCCGCGAGGCGAGAAAGGCTGAGAGCTCTCAAAGCGGCTCAGGAACTCCTAAATACCCCAGATGCAGATGTTGAAAATGACAAATATAATCAAGAACAACAAGAGGAAGAAGAGGAAGAGTAATTTTCTCATGGCCCTATATTTCTTTTTTTCTTCTTTTTTTTTTTTCCTTTTTTTTCCCTTTTTGGAGACGAAAGAGTTTCTCCTTTTCGTTTGCTCTTTCCATTCATCTAACTAGAAACTTAAAATGAAATTAATTTAATTCAAATAAGGGTTCTGTTACAGTTTGATCATCTGTCTTGTTATGGATTGATATTTAACACAATAATTAACTACTGGGTGCTGAAATTTAGTATTTTCTGATGACATTGTGGATGATAATCTATAATTAGGTGATGAATTGATGGAATAAGTTGCTTACAGGCAGTAAATATAGGCCTTTCTTTGATTTAGTTTAAGATACTATTATGAACCTATGTCTAAGATGATTCTGCGGGTCTCTAAAATTATATAATTTTAATTGGTTTCATAATTCGTTGCTGATGAGTTTAAACACCGAAAGAAAATGATTTTATTAATATTAATTACTTACACACTTTGGATAAACACACTAGGACTAATTTTCTCCACTCACTATCTCACACACACACTTCACACACAGCACTTCACTCTTTCTTGCTGCTTCTCTTTCTCACTCCATTTCTCTGCACACATACTCTCTTCACTCACACTCTCCTCTTTTCCCGCCTAAAATGCAAAAGGTGAACAGATATTTATAGGAGGCAAAGTTGGTGCATATAATTCTAGAGTTTTCTCATTGCGACGGTGATGAATGTGGGTGGGCAGCTTTCCAAAATTTCTCTAGATTATTCTTGCTTTGGCGGTTGAATATTTAAATTTCCAGCATCTTCTAGTATGTCGGCAAACATTGGCAATGGGCGGTGATGTCTTTTCAATTCTCCCCTTCGGCACCAACTCATTGTTTAAATTCTTCTCGTTATTATACCCAATTGTGTTAGAAAGTCTTTGAATTTTGAAGCGCTGAGTCCTTTCGTTAAAACGTCTGTGATTTGTTCTTCAATATTGACATGATTCAAGTCTATCTCTCCTTTAAAAACCTCTCTTCTGACGAAGTGATAGTGTACTTCGACGTGCTTTGTTCTTGCATGACACACTAAATTTCTGCTACGTGAATAGCGGATTGATTATCGCAATATAGTTTCACTGCATAACTTATGGATTGATGTAAATCCTTCATTAACTGTATTAACCATGTACTCTCTTGAGCTGTCATCGCTGTTGCTCTATATTCTGCCTTTGCTGTTGACAAAGACACGGTTGGTTGTCTTTTAATGCACCATGATCAATTGTTCCTTTTACGTACCTTAAAGATCCATCGCACTACTTCAAGATGTGGCTTCTTCGATTTTTCCATAAAGCAGCTTGCTATCCCAACTGCATATGCAATGTCGGGTCGTGTCAATGTCAGTGTTAATGTTAGGTAGATTAAGCTCCCTACTAGTTGTCAATACATGGTTGCATTCTCCAAATCCTTGCCTTCATCTCCACATAGCTTGGAGTTAATCTTAATTGGTGTTGATATTGGTTTGCAATCGATCACCCCAAACTTTTGTACAATATCTCGACCGTACTTATGCTGGCACAAGAATAACCCTTTTGTTCTTTCCATCTCAAGTCCCAGAAATAATTTAGCTCTCTAAGCAGACTCTACTGGCATGATGTAGATAGACTCTAATCTTTGTCCCTCTATTATTGGTGTACCTGAAATTTTGATATTTTGATACACCTTGACATCTTTCGGTCTAAATAGAACATAGTTATCTGATGATGTTAGTTGTGCCATTGATAGGAGATTTTTCTTCATTCCTGGGACGTGATAGACGTCTTGTAACTGCAACCGACTAGGAATGAAACGAGGTGTGATAACTGTCTTACCAATGTAGGCTGTTGGCAATCTTGAGTTGGTGGCAGTTACCACCATCCGACCTCCTTTGTACTCCATTGTATTTTGCAACTTCTCTTTATTGCCGTCATGTGGTGTAGTTTTGATTATTGAGCTTCCTCATTCCACCTACCACTTATAGGTCGTCCATTGTGACTTGATTTACCTCCTCATAATCAAACTAGCTTTAATAAAGTTCCACAATCTCACTTTGTGCACAAACTCAGGAAGCTCAAAAATTCGTCCTTGACCGCCTTGCTCTAATACCAAATTATTGGGTTTAAATACCCGAAGAAAATGATTTTATTAATATTAATTACTTACACAATTTGGACAAACACACCACTAGGACTAATTTTCTCCGCTCACTATCTCACACACACTTCACACACAGCACTTCACTCTTTCTTGCTGCTTCTCTTTCTCACTCCATTTCTCTGCACACATACTCTCTTCACTCATAATCTTCTCTTTTCCTGCCTAAAATGCAAAAGGCGAACACATATTTATAGGAGGCAAAGTCTTTGCATATAATTCTAGTATTTTCTCATTGTGACGGTGGTGAATGTCGGTGGGCAGGTTTCCAAAATTTCTCTAGATTATTCTTGCTTTGGCGGTTGAATATTTAAATTTCCAGCAACTTCTAGTATGTCAGCAAACATTGGCAGTGGGCGATGATGTTTATTCGGTTACTCTTGTCAACTTAATAGATTTCTAATGGGAATTTGATTTGGTTTATTTTTAAGACCTTTGTAGGGTGTAGAAATGGGAGTTGGTAGATTTTAAGGGGATGAAATGTATTGTAAGATTTTGATCCATGGGTTTGGATCAATCATGGGTGAAATGTCTTAAAAACCATCTTATTTTGCTTCTTTGCTGAAGTATTGACATCAAGAATATCCATACGATTTTTCCGAGGTTTGATGTAATTTGGCTTTTAACTCACACCACTGAAGTAACATGCACTCACCTTTTGTTGCTAATTAATTTTACATCATGCTAAATACCTCTTTGCAAGAGTTGCTGGTTAAAATTTAAATTTTATCACTTGTAATGATGAGCATGTAGTTGGATTTAAATTATAACATCCTCATTACAAGAAGCTTCGTCATTTTGATAAACAAAATAAATTACTTTTTGCAGAAATGCCAATATGAAATTCCGAAATTATCTTCCTCATGACAAGCAACTTCAAGAGGGCAAACTTGCCCCACCAGTACTACCAAAATTTGAAGATCCCGTTCTCATGGCACCTCCACCGGAAGAGAAGAAAGAGGTGGGTTATTGACTTATAAACTTGTACGACATTTCCTTTTCGTTAAGAATAATAATTATTGTGCGATAATAAGTTTTGGGAGCAAATAAGTCCTAGGTAAAGATTTGTAACCACCAAAGAAACCAAACTGGGACTTGCGGAGAGATGTACAGAAAAAACTTGACAAGCTTGAAAGGCGCACTCAGAAAGCAATGGTTACACTAATGGGTACTTGAATTTCTTCTTTCGCTTTTACATTAATCAATAACTAGACAAACGGTATCTTGATATATTGGTAGCATACATATAAATACTTTTTTTTCTTTTTTTTGTGCTCGTATCACTTTTAATTTTATATCTAAAATGTGGATGTACTAATTGATGCCTGGTAGGCATACATTCGTATTCTGTTATTATGTCTCTGTTTTGCGATTAAATTTAACAATCATGCTACATGTACATTATTCTTTACATTTTTGTTTATACTTTTACACATGGCACAATCACATATTTTGATTTTTCCAACACCTTTTTCATATCACTGTCCAGATTGTGCCACTGCCACATGGGGGGAAGGGGGGGAAATGTCATCTATGGTATGGTGTGTAGCAAGATGTACATATAGCTTAATTAAATTAGTTAGCCATTGGTTATAATCCAAGTAAGTAAAGAGGTTAAAGTCGATATTTTGAGCATTTACTTTGTTGAAAATGAATATCTGAGTCCGTCTTGTGTATTTTGAGAGTAGATGAGACAAATGATTACTTGGACTTCACTGAGAGTATCATGGATGGATATGTGTGTTTGAAGGAACACTGTTATTTGAATATATAGGTATTCACCTTATATGATTTATCAATTCGATCAATCTTAATATGAACCTTTTAACATCAGTAACATAATATAGTAGCTTGTGAACGGTGTTTCTCTCTTGAAGATAATTTTGGGGTATTAATCATTTGGGTTTGACGGCTATTTAGATCTCTAGTATCTTTGATATACATTCACTATTATAATGTTAGTTATAAATTTTATGCATATAAACAGCTGCATGTCCTGTGAGAAAATGTAGTAAAAATGACGACAATTTAAATTTTCAGTTGCATTCTGTCAATATTTGGCTAATCAACATTTTCTTATATGTAGTTTCAGAAAGCATCAATTTTGTGTGTGTTTGGTAAAGCTTATTGTAGATTATGAGCTGGGACTCTTATTGAATGTGTGAATAAAAATGATGTTTGACCAGCTTATAAGCTTTAAAAAGCTTTACCAAACATATGGTTTGTCTTTTTGTTTAGGCTAGAAGGTTGTTTTTCAAATGAAAATGTGTTAATGGTGGTTTCCCCATTGCTACTAATCATAACATGATCATATTTGGCTGTGCTTAATAGTTACTATTCTAGGAAGCTAGTGAAGACTTACTTTTAGAAAAATAAGTTTTGTTAGTAACACGTAACTTTGAAAAATTGTGTCTGGAGTGACTTAACAGTAAATTAGACTTACTTCAAGCTCATCCAAATATGGTCTGGATTGGGCTCATTTGTTAACTTTATATTGGAGATACTTGATTCCTATATGCAGCAGCTGCTGAATCCCGACTGTGTTAAATGCAAATTAAGTCAGATTGGATCCCATTAGCAATATATATTGACGAGATGTAATGTTTTTTTATCAATCCTTAATAGATTCGAAGCATTCTCATTGCCGTTGGCACTTAATAGTCTTGAACTAATATTTTGTGCTTTTATCTGTGGCTTCAGCGTCCAACAGCATATGCAAGTTTTACTTTTCTATGTTTCCAGAATTTATGACAGATATTCTGTTGGCAGATTTATTGTCTTGACCTATCCTTTCTTTATATTATGTTTTTTCAAGATGACCATGGTGGCATGAATTTGATCTCATTTAATTGATTTCTATTTGTTTGTAGTTTTGATCATGTTTTGCTGCTAACAAGTGTGTCCATTTTGAAAATGTTCATCTCTTAGCATGCCCTGGAATAGTATGGGATTTATACTCATCCCACGAAATTATGCCCCTGCTCATCTCCTTTTTCTTTTTTTTCTTAAACTCATTTTCAACCACGCATTCATACAATAAAATATTTTGCATGTAAATTCAAAATATTTTCCTACTTTTTAGTTTTTAACGACACATTCTCCAAAAAAAAATCACTATTCAAAAATTGTTTCCCCACAAAAACTGTTTAAAAAGGGAGACAAAGAGAGGCTATATGTATGATTGCATGTGAACTAATAGGCATGTGTAAACCGTGTTTTCTGCAGAGCAAGAAGAAGCAAAAAGGAGATTGAAAGAAGACGGTGGCGAAAATGGTGTGCAAGACTGAGGGGGAACATCGACTGGGAATTGCAAAGAATGTTCTACAATTTTCTTAGAATCTTTAACCTAAGGCAAATTCACTCAATCTAGGTTATTTCAGATGCTGAGGAGTTTGGATAATCAAAACGTTGAACATGTGAATTTTATGTATCAAATGATCTATGGAATTAACAATGAAATTAACTGCAATGGTGAAGGTAACAAATCATGCTACTGTTATTACAAAGGTAGATTGTACATTTTGTAGCCTCGTTCTTAGATTGCTCGAGTTTAAATGGGATTCGATTGAAATGGACTGCATACATTTCACCCCAAGACTTGGTGATCCAATTGAAATGCTTGAATTTGAAACTCTTCTTGGTAAATACAAGATTGGAGCAAGATGCAAAGGTATGGGAATTTTCGATATTTAGCTAAAATGATAACTTGGATGTTAATTTTGATATATTTTACCCTTTTTTAGAGGGCAAAAAATTTTAATTGAATGGTGGGTGACAAGAAGTTTGACACCTCTAAATATATACATTATTGTTATATTTAACGTGCTCGATTGAATGGTACTACGCATGATTAAGAAAAAGAAGTTAAGAGTTCGTATATGTATTCCGAGGTGCTTCTTTAAGTGAACCCCCCCCCCCACCCCCCACCCCAAAAAAAAAA